AAATATTGAAATTAATACTGAATTATTAGCGAACTCCGGTAGCATTCGGTATGCGCCACGTATTTTACCTCACTCACAATTTTCTCCACTCTTATGTTTCATCGGATATTCTGCTGCTTATTTGCTTTAGTAAGCAGTAGTAAATCACAGTCGCAATCATAAGGACATTGTAATGAGTTCCAGTCTGCACAATGATGTTAAAGGACCATCAGTGTTTTTATCTGCAAGACATTAAGGATTAGCAAATAGGCGACAGAAGAGAGATAGAAGGTTTGGATGCCTTTGGTAACAGATGACGCTCACGGTGATCAGTGGCGCCAGTATAAAACATAACGTCAGATTTCGCCCACAACCACGGTGTTATCCTCGATCTCAGTTTTCTCCGAGACAAACCATGCGTTTCGCTTCTCACATAGGTATTCGAAGCGACTAAAAAAAAAAAAAAAAAAAAAAAAAAAAAATAACTTCGTGGGGCATAGGCGAATATTGAAGGTTCTTCATGTTTTATCACTACGGAATGGGTTGCAGCCGCCATCCACCTAGTACTAGGGTTTTAATAGGTGCGGACTATAGAGACTCGTCGGTCCCTGAATTTCTATCCACGCTTCTAATTCTCTGAGGTATGGCTTTGCGAACTTCATCCCTTTCTGTCCCACTGTAGTAAAGCACTCGAATAGGATGTGAGCAACGTTGGCGGATCGAGAAGGCTGGTATCAGGGATCATCTGTGTTTCTTCATTTTCACTTATCGGGAGGAAGTGGTTTGAGTATTTGGGTTCTCAATTGCATGAACTGCCGCTAGTGAATAATATTTATCCTAATCATCCTTAACTAAGCACTTTAACTGTTACATCGTTGTAGGAAACTATGAACGTAAGCCTACTATCCCTTCATCCGGCGACGTTATTCACGATGAGCCCTCCTTAGAACCCTACTCTGGGTTGACATGATGGTGAGCCATCACGAGAGTGAGGCTCTAGGGAGAGCTCATCGTGAATAGAAATTTTTTCGTGGAATCACCTTTTCCAGATGCGAACGCTGACCTTTTCACTTTTCTTGCATGTCACCAAAAGCCTATTATGCATGGTTTCTAAGGGACTGTCAAAGGATGTAGGAATCTGTTCAGTATCTTACATGCGAATCCGTACCAGTAACTTGATCCAACTGCTGTAGAGAACCAGAACTTGATTTTTTCGACAAGGCGCCACTTCCTTGTAGCCGACTTGCCACGCATGCCGATCGCGTAGATGATCGTATATTCCCTTGGGGATCATTCCCCTTGAGAAATAACTTTTTCTGCCGCGGAATTTTTGCACACTAGCGACACGCTACGCTGGCGTCCAGGAGAAGCGGAGGAAAATTCCTCTGCATGATAGCTCCATGTGCTTTTGGGTGCAGTGCTATCCACTGTCAGTTCTGCAGTCACAATGGTACACTGTGTTCATAAGTGGTAGGCATTTCTGAAATTTCAGAAAGATGAGCAAAGGGAATGAGAATGGTGTCGTACCAGGAGGGGGGAAATTTATGGGGAATCGTAGTTCTGCCAAAATTTTTTCTCTGAGGCCACTTTGCCTGTATTGGGATGCTCCCCAATACCTTTGAGGCGTTTTTTTAATATGATAAGCGATGTTTGACTCCGTATTTCAGCCTCCGGAAGTTTGAGCGGCGAACTGCAGTTGTCACCGGTTGCGACAACATAATGATTCGTAAAGCTTTCAACCTCGCTGCTTAATTCCAATACCTAACGATATGGCTGACGGCTCTCCATTTAACGTATTACGCCCCAGGCTGCGGCATAAAAACGGCCGCGTCAAGCAGGGTGGCGTGAAAGATAGCGTACTCCCCAAGAAAGCGAGAGCTGCAGGCTCAGGTCCCGCAGGTAACAGGCTTTTGCACATGATGGCATTCTTGTGATATTCCATTATTTTTCCTCTTTTGGTCACTGTGACTACTCACTATGATACAGCTCAGGCGGCTAGTGCAAAGCTGGATGAACTGGTTCTCCCAAATCAGCAAAGCGTGAACCAGCTAAGCTGGTTAATCGTTTTACAAGCAACAAGTTGTTCACTGACAAGGATCAATCTTCAGCTTGACATCGCATTAGATTGCTTCTTATAACACCGAATGAGAAGTGGCAGTGCAGGTGCATGATAAGCTGGTTTTGATTCGAATCTGCAGGATCACGACACGTTTTACACATTGATTCAGACTGAATATGATTGTGGCGACGATGTGATGAGTGAAATTGCCGTTCACAAAAAAAATCAGCTTCTTCCTTCTCCTATATTTCTGCTAGCTCCGCAAGGCTTACAGGGACAACAGAAAAGATCCCGAAAAGCGTCCTGAACAGTGATGGCAGATGGGAAAATTCATTAGAGAGAAGGCGTCATTTCGTGCAGCTCACCAAGGGGGTTCCACAGCTGTCTACAAGGGTACACACTGAAGAAAGACACTCGGAACATGGGATGGACCACCAAAGTTCTTATCGCACAGAATGGCAAGCCAAATGAAAGGTTTTTGGTGATATTCCTAAGATGCTTCTCTCTAAGCACGAGCAAGCACTCCACTCTAACTCTCACAGTCACGATTAGGCTCGAGCAGCTGCCTAATTTTTACGGTCGAGTCACTAGTGTTCAGACCCCTAGAGAATGCTGCCACTACAATACCCACCCTAAATGTTTGGAAAGAAAAATGAAAAAACGCCTTCTCGCGTTTTTTTCCTATTTTCTTGCTATAACTCAATTTCTGTTCTCCTTGCTTATAGAAGGTTCTACACCGTTTTATTCAGCTTGTCGAGCTCTGCAAGATGATGTTTTGAAAACCCATGAAACCATGTACGGTGGAAGAGATCAACCGTCCAGCTTTTTGCGCAGCGCCACTACATATGGTCCTTGGTTTATTTTTCATCACTCAACCCTGACTGTACTTAGTACAGTAACTTTATCGTCACGCGCCTCAAAGGCAGTTGACACGACAAATCCTTAGGCTGCGTTTATACTTTGCGGCAGCGTAGCGCTTCCAGCGTACGCCAGCGGCAGTGCCGGGGAGAGGATGGATATCGATCTAGCGTTACGCCAGCGTTTCACCAGCGTTTTGCTGGCGTTTGCAGCGGCAGGGGAGTAGAGACTATGTGGCCGTAAGAGACGCGCAATCGATGTGTATTGTAGAGACTATGTGGCCGTCAGAGACGCGCAATCGATGTGTATTGTAGAGACTATGTGGCCGTCAGAGACGCGCAATCGATGTGTATTGTAGAGACTATGTGGCCGTCAGAGACGCGCAATCGATGTGTATTGTAGAGACTGAGGGCGAGTGAGAGACGCGCAATCGATGTGTTTTGTACCCTCCAGCTCTCCATAGTCTCTACTCCCCTGCCGCTGCAAACGCTAGCAAAACGCTGGTGAAACGCTGGAGAAACGCTGGCGTGACGCTGGGAACGCTAGATCGATATGCATCCTCTCCCCGGCACTGCCGCTGGCGTACGCTGGAAGCGCTACGCTACGCTACGCTGCCGCAAAGTATAAACGCAGCCTAAATCCTCTCCCCGGCACTGCCGCTGGCGTACCTACGCTACGCTGTCGCAAAAGTATAAACGCAGCCTTGAAGACAATCCCGCGACCACACAGTTCATAGTGAATGACAGTTCAAAAATCGAGAATTGCCTGTGGTTGTTGAGCTTATTCGAAAGAAAGAAGGAAGCAACGAGAGAAGCGCCCGGAATAAGACCCTTTTTATTGCAATTGATCATGATGGACGAGTGTAAGGTGGTCAAGATCAATTGAGCATTGCGAAAGGCGGTGATACACTGGTAAAGAAGACCGAGAGAGCCAGCAAACACGGGCGAGAGGTGCAATGGCAGACAATCGACAACGACAGGGTGGTTTGAGGCCGGAATGGGCCTAATCGGCGCCGAATGGGCTAAAACTTCAGGACGCGCGGCGCTTGGCTTGCTGTTTTCAACCATTTAAAAGCGGCATAGCCTCTGACGCTTGGCCCATGCTTGACTCAACCGTAACACGCTTATGAGAACCTAGGCCTTAGCTTATATGGCGCGAAACGGCACTTAAGACGGGACTAGTACGTCCGAACGAATTCGCGCCCCTGAGCCGGTGCTGGCGTAGCATCTTTTCCAAAGAAGGTACCTTGTAAGGTCTTTTCAAGCGGCAACGTACTGGTGCGGACGCCCACCGCTTCCACCCGCCCACAAATGTACGACCGTACATGATGCCCGTATTTGCGAAGCAAAATATGAAGCGAAGGAATGGACATGAAGCCGCCATTCGATATGAGTAACCTACCATGGCAGCCTGTATCTAACCGTATGCGGTTTTATGGCAGAGTGCCTACGGAAATCCTCGTCCTGAATTGCGTTTTGAGTGATTGAAAGAAAATGAAGCCTTTCTATCGCAGATCTTTAAACCGTTCTACTCGCGTTTTTTTGGTCGCCTTTTTTCTCGCTACTGCATAGCCCCTGCTATGTATTTTAAGAATGGAGTATCTACTTCAGTGCGTCGAACTGCCTTTTCATGCATCTACAGCTTGTAAGGCAGAAGGGCTTGTGAAACAAAATAGTCTTTTGAAAGGCGGCTTGCCTAAGAGCGGCCTTTCTGAAGTTTCTGAAATACAACAGCAGACATGCGGCTTTCCTCATATTTTCATTGCTGCTTTAAGTGGAGAATTCTGTAGCACAACATTTTCAATTTGGCGCACTGCCAAATCTAAATGACGGCTCGACGTTGTAATCGTTGAGTGGCACCATGAAGCTTCATCGATCATTTCGCGGATACAACCCACAGAGTAAATCGAAAGGAAAGTCACTTGTATGAGTCTACATACTACAAGTATATATACTTCGACCTTTACAACATTGAACGTGACAAAGATTACGGCGATTGTGAATTCCAACAAATACGGACACAAAACTAGAGATCTGTGAAGAGGATGTTTCGAGGAAGGCTTCATAAAGAGGCATGGCTCAGAAACGCGTTCTCTTGCCGGAGCTTATCGCCTCGTAACTCGATTAGCAAGTCGACCTGTAGGCCTGTCCCATGGTTGAGGTGTGGGAGAAACTGGTTTGTGTCCCCATGCCTCCTCTTCGTCGTCCTCATCGTCCGCCATCGTTAACCGAGCAGCAATGCGCCGACGCTTTCTGAAATGAATATGATGGGATCATTGTTGACTAGCCATACAAACATGCAAACAACCGACAATTTCAGCATTAATCATTCCCACTACTGTTGACAGTACTGCGAGCTGCATGTGTTATGGGTATCACAACCGTCTATGCCCAAGGAAATATAGAAGTTAGCTTGCAACCTTATTTTTTCAACTCTCACGCGATGTGTCTAGTGAAGAACGAGTTGGTTTAGGCAGCGTCCAGACCTCGCAACGTCGTGCATCGCAGCGCGTCAACGAGCTGTAACGCGCTGTAACGCGCGTCGACGCGCTAAAATCACAACGCATTCCAATAACCATACACAAGCCTCCCTTTATCTACCTTCCTCTGATATTTACCCTTTTTTCTATTATTTCGCATTTCTACTTCATTTACTCATTACTCTACTATATCTTCCGAAATCCGGCCTGTTTTTTTGTCGAATTCTTCTAAGAGTGCAGATTCGGCTGAAAGTTTGTATCCAGTGGCAGTTCGACCTCTTTAATATGGATATCACATTCGTGCAGCATGAAGATTCACGGTATTTAGGCGAATTCAGTCGCGATGTCAACTTTCAAGGCTGCTAGAATCAACGGCTGACCGAAACTATGCTGATGGCTCCCGTGTACTGTCGGCCAGACAAACGCGCTCCCAATCACTAGCACTGCACAATTTGGAGGAGTATGACTGACTAGGGAATATTTCCTGCTGTGCATAGCAAACCACACCCACTCACATGACATTCCGCCAATTAGGCACAAAAGTAAAAATGAAATGGAAACTCACATGGCAGTTTCATCAATGTCATCCGAAGCGAGCGTCCCACCAGTACCATTGAACAGACATGATCCTTTTTTTGCACCTCGCCCCTGAAAACGTTAAAAGCTCGAGTCTTTGTCGCGTTCAAAGGCAAGAATTTCTCTTCACGTACGAAATTAAGGGCACTGGACCGATTTCAGGAAAACGGTATCTTATAAATATCTTGCAAATTTGTATTCCTGTAGACGCCGCAAATTCACGAATGGCACCAGCCTCATGCCAACGTTGCATGGGCCCGAGGCCGAGGCAAACAGTGATCCTTTGTTAGCATCTTCTGTCTCCGAATGACGTCTAATATGTAAAAGAAAATCCTGTGAAATGACGTCTAATGAACCAATTACGTTACGGTTCGCAACTTTACAGGAGTTAACAGTAACTCACAAGGTTCTGTTGGCTTTAGCATGTTCGCATGAACTTATAAAGATGCCCCTCCCACTCCTGAAGCGGAACTACCCCAAGAAAATGCTCGCATGAGCAGTTTTGAGCGACCTTCCGAGGTGTACTGTAAGTTCCGATACGCTTCCGTCACGAGGCTGATACATGGAAATATTATTTTGGTCAAAATTTCAACATTTCGTCATCTTCAAATCTTCAGTATCACCATTAGATCATAGCGCTCCGGCACAGTCAAGTTGTGGAATCGAAGCTACTTGTAAACGAAGGAAAGGTCGTAAAATAAAATTTCCACCTAACAACCTCGTGCCAGAAGCATCAGCAACACCAGACGCGCAGAGATAGAAGAAGAGAGACGGATGTTCATTGAAAGTCATTTAAAACTCGAATGATGGTCAAGTACGCAGCGTTTCTGCGAGGAACTGCTGCCATACTTCTGCGTTCCTCATTGTACCAGCAAAGCGTTAACTTTGAGGAAAAGGCGACAGTACTCATATGGGTGGCGCATGGCTGTGACCTGGAGATTTTCTTAAACACACCTACCCTGACAACTTTGGCCTGTGGAGCTCCTGACTCGACATCTGTGGACTTCACCTCATCTGTAGACGGCTTGACGGTAGGGTCATCATAGAACCTCAAATGAAGAATCCTGATTTGAATGTTAGTGAACAGAATGGGAAGTGTCGTACTATCACGTCGCAACTACGAATTTGCAATAGCGAAAAAAGACCAGCTCAATAGATTCAGCAACGCACCAATTAAGTAAAAAGGGCCCCACAGAACTCGGGCCATAGCCATAGATTAAGGACCATGGAATCGGGACGACACACCAGCGCTGGCACAGAACTCGCACCCAAAAGGTTCTTCCATTTATATCATTGCGCGAAGTGTTTTAAATAAACTTCTATCGAAAGCTAGAATGGGATTCAAATACGAATGTCAAGGTGCTAAATATCAGCAGTGTGCGGAACGCCCCTCCCCTTACCCTCCCCAACCCCCTCAAGCCGAACAGCGCCGAAGGAAGCAGTAATTTTCATAGACAACTTATGTAACACACCTGCTGTTTCTAAGCATTACACGAATGTACGAAAAGGAAACGCTGTGCTCGGGAAGGGAAACAGACGATGAAGGGTCGAGAGAGTACACAACTGATAGAGACACCACCGCTATACAGTGAAGGCGGAACGATAACCACAAGGGTGAAGATAATAAGGGAAGGGCGGAGATGACAGACGGTGGCAGAATCCTGGTGTTATAACCGAGCAATTTCAAGACGAGAAAAAAGGTATATTCTCTGTCGTTTTGAACCGCATCACTTGGTCAAGGAGGGTTACTCAAGTGTTTAATCGCGGGCTCTGTATACGAACAACTTTAAGGCACGGCAAAACAAAAAAATGGTAAAAACAAGAAAGCAAAATGTGCAAATTGAAAACCACTCTACTTGGCCTTCTCACCTCGTGTCATGCTCGTAGTCCCATTCAAGTTCATTGCCTTTCTCGTCGAATACATTCAATCCAGGTCGCACTTTTTGCTCTGTTGACCATGAATAGGTGAAGCCTAAAACGTGTACATTACAAGCACGCTATTGAAGGTTTCAAATAAATTCATTGTACGAGAAGAAACTGATTAGACATGAGCGTTACCTTGATCGTCCACCTTTTTACGTTTTCGACTAGCGTCCTCCTCATCTTTGTTAACGGCAGCTTTTCGTGCATCCTAAACAACACTGAAAATTGTGGAGGGGGCACCGGACGTGAAACAGGGAAAACGACCATGGAAATTTTAACAAGAACTATTCTTACCGAAATTTCTGTGTTTGTAGCGAATCTGGCAATCATGAAACGTCGTTCTGGAACGTGCTCTGTGACGACACGCCAACGACCTAGATCACGTAAATTCCTCGCTTTTTGGCACAAGTCCTTTGATTGCTTTAAAATTCGAGAGGTGGTAAATTACGTAAACCCCACGGGTTATTTCACATCCGATAAAGAGTAGCTGTTATTGCTTCAGCGATCTCTAAACAGAAAAAGTTCTCCAAATCCCGAGGTACGAAGTTTTTTTTCTGAAGATTTTTTTACTTGGAGAATGTAAGCAATGGAGCACAAATATGAAGCTACATACGCAAAGTTGCTTATCTGAGAAGAAGACAACAATAAAATCCTTGAACAACCCTTTAAATAAGATCCTTGATTTTGGTGTAACATCAGAACAAGTCTAAAACTGTTCATACTTCGCAATTCGCGCGACTGTGACCGACCGCGCTCTATCCCTAGATCTTTGACCTCTGAAACTGCGAATTCAATCGCATCGGAGATGAAAGGTCTTTGGACAGTTGCAATTTTTCAACAATTAGCGGCGGAACGCGGAGGTCGGTCCCGGAGTATCCCTGATCTTTTAGTTTTTATGGTTGGTCTGGAGCGCCGATTTCAGCTACTAAGCTAAGGTGAATGCGAAGATCCCTTCAGTGGACAGTGCTTTTTACCCCAACATTACAGCCCTCATATTAGAAGTCGAAAAAGGAACGCAACTTACCGTGTGGTATATCGATGGCATCAACATCCACTTCGACTACGTCTTCTCGAATTCGCTTAGGTTTGTCTCCTGAAAAACCAGAATGCTCAAAACAAGCCGACAAAACGAAAAGGGCGCTATGTTCCTCACAAGGAACCAGCATCTTGTGGCCTGCAAGCTTTGCTCTTTTCATAGAGGAAGCGGCTCCAGGGTGAGCCACGTCAGTCATTCCAGTTTTCCACGAATGATGAAAGGTTTCTCACTCCAGAGTCTGTTCTTTTGAAACCCTCCCCCCTGAGAATCGCTGACCCAAAACTGCAGACCAGAGCTTTTCTTCTGAACTCCCAGAGCCGGAACCCATAAAATACAGTTTTCTCAAAACAAAGGCACTCGAAGGGTCAGCTGAGGTGACAGTCAGTGTTTATACACCTAGGAAAGTCTGATGTCCTAGTGCGCATTCATCCCTACGAAGCGCAGTTCCAAAGCTAAACATCTTGTAGTGCCACTGCAAAGAAACAAACTTCATGAATAAATACAAGCAAGCTGCCACCCATAGCAACAACGCGTAGTGTGGAAGAGTTAGCGAAACCAATGCAATTTCGCCAAAATTGATTCCTAGTGTTCAGTGTTGAGCCATAAATTACAACTATAGCGCTTAGGATATAAAAAAACCTGAACCTTTCACATCCACGCGCCCGCATTTTTTTGTTGGCTGGTGAAAAGGTGAAGTATCTAGCGTTGTCCACCGAGC